CACCGGCCGCGGATGGCGGAAGCAGGTGGATAGGCCAGCGCGGCACGGTGTTTCGAAGGAAGAAGGGAAGGGGCCTGAGGTTGAAGAAGGTGATCGGGCCATTTATATTTCATCCAACGGCCTAAACCAAATTGACTGACCCTAATTTTTCAGGTGACTGTCATCGAGCCATGCCCTATATTCTCCTAGTTTCTTCCTTTTGTACTTTCACAAGGGTGACATGTCTGTTCCCCGAGAGCATGCTAACGATACATAAATATCAGCAGTAAATTCTTGCTGAAATAAGGGAAAGACGTGCTCAAACAAAAAAAAAACGTGTACGTACTACATATAGGTAATTAACTTTTGAAGATAGTTTTTAATGATGTTCAATGGACCAACAATCATGTTATGGACCACACATCATATCACTGCCACCCATTGACGTGCCACCTTTCCTGCTAGTTGGGGCTCACACTTCACAAACGCGGGCAGTTCACACATCAAGTAATGCACGTACACTGTGTTAACCCTAATTATTGTTTGGAATATAAGTGCATTTTACACCTTTCTACGTCAGCTTTTGTTAAAACAAGAGACCTTAAGTTGCTACTTGTTACATGTTACTTTTGGCCTAGCCTGAGGGAGCCACACGTAAGGAAAAATATTGTTGCGCTATAAGCATATATATTGCCTCTCTTTTTTCATCAGTTTGAGTTTAACTATGATTTTATCCACTTCCATTATACTGCGTGCAGGGTTGTGATGCGCCGATGCTCCTATCTATCAACCCCGGCGGCGGCCAGACGGAGGGCGATGCACCGCCGAACAACCCCAGCCTCCATGGCTTCCAGGTTGTCGATGCGGCCAGAGCCGCCCTAGAACAGAGCTGCCCACGCACCGTGTCATGCACCGATATCCTAGCGTTCGCCGCCCGGGACAGTGTCAACCTCACCGGGTCCCCGCGGGCCGCCACGACGGGAGCATCTCGACTAACGACAGCGCGTTTGGCCTCCCTAGTCCAAACTTGACCGCGGATGGGCTCATACAAAGTTTCAAAAACAAGAGCCTGACTGCTGAAGAGATGGTGATACCATCCGGCGCCCACACATTGGACCGCTCGCACTGTGACTTCTTCATTTTCAAGAACCACGAGAGGCTGATGAGCGGCACCATCAGCCCGACATACCAAGCGTTGTTGGAGGCACTGTGCCCGACGAACGCGGTCCAGGTCACAAATGTGACGACGATGATCGACCTCAACACGCCAACGGTACTGGACAATAACTATGAGTGCGTACGCAATGCCACGGGCTGTTGCAGCTCAACCTGGGCCTACACTTCTCCGACGACCAGCTCGACCGCAATGCCACGCTCAAGGCCTCCGACGCCTCCGTCGCCAACGAGATGCTCCGGAAGGAGAAGTTCATTGCCGCCATGATTAAGATGGGCAAGATCGAGCCCAAGACCGGCACGCAGGGGGAGATCCGCCTCAATTGCAGCTTCATCAATCCGCCGTCATCATCGTTTGCCTCCGCAAGGGCGGTCGAAATGCTTCACCCGAGCTCCAACAACAATGCCCCCCGCTGGCGACGAGATCAGCACGGCCTGATGCATATTATGTACCGTGTACGAGTAGTGAGTATGTACACGCACTCACGTTCATACCCTCATACGTTAGAACGTGTGTAAGCATGTACTGTGGTAGAATCTGTAACGTGTACAAGTTTGATGTAAGATGTTTTGGATGTTCAAGTACTTCGTTGGTTATTTTTGTCTTCTTGTTTCAAAGTACAGTATGATGCTTGCAATATTCGTGATCCGAATATCCTGTCATTTATGGAAACAGAATTATTTTGACATTTTTTCTATAATAATGCACTGATCAGGTTTATATAATACCAACCACATGTTCAAAAGAAGGTGTAGTCACAAACTCATCGTTGTTGGCCAATTTTGTTGTGCCCGTCAGGAAATACCTTCGGGGATAACATTCCAGACGGTTACCGTCAGGAGTGTGTCTTATTCCAGACAAGCTATTGCTGACGGTAGATTCTTGACGGCGTGCCCACATTCCTGATAATTTTGCCTCATTACTGCCGGGATTTGGCCGTCAGGCAAAAGTCTGTTTGGGGTGGCGGGTGTGCTTGTCCGGGCGGCCAGAACTGCACCATCTGGCTAGAACTGAACCGGATGGTGCAGCAGGTGCAGGCGCGTTGGCAGCGGGAGACTTGGACAATATTTGATTTATGTTTATATAGGCAGTCCATGTATCTTTTTTTTAGATCCATGGCAAACTGAATTACACCATGGTTGGGACGACCTCGTTCGTCAAAACATCTCTACAATCAGCAGGGACATCAGCTATGAGCAGGAAATCTCTAGTTCTTCGCGCACTAGAAGCTAGCTCATGGGCCAACTTGTTCAGCCCCCTGTTTACAATACTAAACTCCGTGCTTGCAAAGCTTGATGCAATGGTCTTCGCGTCGGCTATAGATGTGAAGCAGGCTGATCTGCATGTCTCTTCCACCTGTAGGGCCCGCCCGATTCCCGCACAATCAGTTTCTAGGATCAAAGTACCCTGATGGTATTTGGCAAATTCAGTTAATCCCATCACCACCGCTGCTGCTTCAGCTTCTTCTACTGAGCTGCACTGGCCCAAACGCCGGCCTACTGATAGGAAGACATGGCCTCTATGATTTCTAGCTACCGTGCCTCCCCACGTGTCCCCTGATTCCACTAGAAACGCGGCGTCCAAATTCAACTTAACTTTGCCGGCTGGGGGAGCCATCCAATGCTTGGGATTTGCACTTGTTGGCAAGCATGCTCTCGTAGGGAACAGAGACTGTTTATTCTTTTCTCCCACCTCAGCAGTTTCGCTTGCCACCATTAGGAGCTCCTCATGTAGTCTGAGCAGGTATTGGACAGATCCTGAGACAGCTATTATTTAGTTTCCAAAAGGCTACGGGTCAACTCCTAAGTCATAACAAATGCTCACTATTATTTAGTGAGGCGAGCATTGACCAGGAAAGAGAGGAGATCAAAGAAATCCTGGGAGTGGAATCATCCTTGTTTGAGAGTAAATACTTGGGCCTTCCAACGCCAGAAGGAAAAATGAAGGACGACAATTTTCAACCGATCATGGAGAGATTTAGGAAGAGATGCAGCAACTGGAATGAGAGGTTTATGTCCCAAGCGGCCAAAGAGGTAAACGTGAAAGCGGTGGCGCAAGCCCTCCCCACACATGTAATGGGGGTCTTTAAACTCGCTTATGCGACAATTATGAGAAGGTAATTAGAGACTTTTGGTGGGGAGACAAAGATGATAGACGTAAGGTCCACTGGATGTCATGGGAGAACATGACGAAGCCAAAATGTGATGGGGGGATCGGCTTCCGGGATATGCATCTGTTTAATCAGGCCCTACTTGCCAGACAAGGATGGAGGCTGCTACACAAGCCAGGGAGTCTCTGTGCTAGAGTGCTAAAATCCAAATATTATCCCAATGGTAACCTTCTTGACACCGTCTTCTCGTTGGATGCATCACCCACGTGGAGGGGAATTGAGTTTGGCCTGGAACTCTTAAAAAAGGGCCTCATCTGGCGAATCGGGGATGAAAGGAACATTCAAATCACGAGAGATCAATGGATCCCAAGGAAAGAGGGGCTGAAGGTGGCATCATTTATAAAGAGGTCCAGACTCAGGTGGGTTAACCAGTTGATCGACCCCCAGACAAAAGAGTGGAAGGTTGATCTAGTGAAGCAAATTTTCCATTCTTTCGATGCGGATGAGATTTGCAAATTAAAAATCCCGTGGGGGGGAGTCGACAACTGTACTGCTTGGCACTATGAAAAAACGGGCGCATTCACAGTCAGGAGTGCTTACAAACTTGCAGTTTCGCTTAAGGGAAAAGGTACTGAAAAAGCTACGAGCTCCTCAAAGGACCCGGGTGACCGCAGCATATGGGATGCCATCTAGAAAGCAAAGATCCCGGAGAAGGTGAAAATCTTCGGTTGGAGAGTGGCCACAAACTCCCTGGCCACCAAACACAATGCCTTCAGAAGGACTATTGCGGATGACAGTGTATGTGAAATATGCGGAAGGGATGAGGAAGACGAGCACCATGCCATTGTCGCATGCACCAGAAGTTTTGCTTTACGCCACTCTATGAGAGCCTTTTGGGAAATCCCTAGAGAATCTGAGTTAAAAAATACAGGGGTAGACTGGCTGCAACTGCTGCTGATCGCCCAACCTGAGGAGGTCAGAACCAAAGTAATGTTGATTTTGTGGCAAGCGTGGAGTTTAAGGAACAATGCCATACATGCGGAGGCAGTCCATGTATCGTTGCTGTTCAACTTGGTTCTGTTGTGTTCTAGTTGTTGCAGATATCATTATTATTTGGATAATTTCGTTTATTTTTGTTCAAAATCTGCTAATGTTTCGTTCAAGAATACAACATTTGGATGGTTCTTTTAATTAATGGAGTATGGATGGCGTACGTGCTCCTCTCCTCTGTACGTGTAGGCTACATACTAGCTAGGTACGTTGGTGAAAACAATGAAAGGGAGGGGTTTTGGTCGGAACGGCTGTTGGGCCACTGCCGACGGCGAGTACTTCCGGCGACGGCGAGACGACGACCATGGAGTGTTCTCCGGAGGAACAAGCTGTACGAGCTCGGAAGCAAGCAGGCTAGCAGGTGGATCAATTCTTCTTCTCTCGTACACGGTACACGTGAAGCTAGCTTGTACTGTCACGCACGCACACCGGCCACCTTTTTTTTTCCTCGATCGATCCGCGTGCGTGCGTGCGTGGAAAAAATACGATTCACCAGCGCCTGAAGAAAAACGGTTCCGTCGCGTCCGTTCCGTCACGTAGCCGAAACGGTTTTCCTACAAAACGAAACGTAGCACACGCCGACTCGGACCGCTACTTCTCGATGGATCAGTGCTACTTGCTACAGTATATAAGTGCAGCCTCCAGCTTGGATCTCTCCATCAAACCAAGACATCCAGCGCAGGTGTTTATTAACCAAGAGTCCAACAACACGTAAGTAGGCCAGATCGATCCAAGAGCAACCGAATAGAAGCTAGCCAGCAGATCGACAACAACATGGGGTGCAGCATGAGCCGCCTCCTCAAGACCACCGTCACGCTGATCATCCTCGTCCTTCTCCTCATGCCCGGGGCCTTAGCCGCCACTAGCTTTGATGCCTCACGAAGCCAACAGCTGCCGCTGCCGCGAGGGACGGTCAAAGGGCCGGAGAGCGTCGCCTTCGATGGTCAGGGCCAGGGCCCCTACAGCGGCGTCTCGGACGGCCGGATCCTCAAGTGGAACGGCGAAAAGCTAGGATGGACTACCTATGCATATGGACCCGGGTATGATAGCAAGACCTGCACGCCGTCCAAGTTCAGCCCGGAGACTGAGAATGCCAGGGAGAGCCGCTGCGGCCGCCCTCTCGGCCTACGGTTCAACCAAAAATCAGGTGACCTTTATGTGGCCGACGCGTACAAGGGGCTGATGCGGGTAGCGCCGGGCGGCGGCGAGGCCACCGTGTTGGTCAACCAGGTTGACGGTTATCCTCTGCGCTTCACCAACGGTGTTGACGTCGATCAAGTTACGGGTCAGGTCTACTTCACAGACAGCTCGATGAACTATCAAAGGTCACAACATGAGATGGTGACTCGCACTGGGGACTCGACGGGCCGCCTCATGCGCTACGACCCACGGACATCCGATGTCACGGTGCTCCAGGCGGGCATGACGTACCCCAACGGCGTCGCGCTCAGCGCCGACAGGTCCCACCTCGTGGTCGCATCTACCGGACCATGCAAGTTGCTGAGGCATTGGATCGAAGGGGTCAACGCAGGCACATCTGAGCCTTTTGCCGACCTGCCCGGCTATCCAGATAACGTGAGGCCCGACACCAAAGGAGGCTATTGGGTGGCGTTGCATCGCGAGAAGAATGAGTTGCCCTTTGGTCGTGATAGTCATCGTCTCGCTGTCAGGGTCGGTAACGATGGGAAGATAGTCGAGGAGATGAGAGGGTCAAAGAAGGTGAGGCCCACCGAGATTATGGAGAGAAGCAATGGAAAAATCTACTTGGGTTCGGTAGAGCTTCCTTATGTCGGTGTTGTTAAGCGCAAGTAAAAAACTATTGTAGTATAGATGCATAGGATGCCCTTTTGTTTCTTGTTCGTACCACCTAATGTAATTTTCTATTTATTTATTTTTTTCGTCAGACGGAACTATTGTAATCCCCATTTTCTATCAACAAATTATTATTTGTTCTTTCCTCCATATTAACGTGTATAAAAGCTAAATTCATCGTTGTTAGTGACATCAATGAGAACTAATTAAGTTCATTTGGCATTTCTTCTGAGCCGATCGATGCCTTGCATCTGCTATAGTTTGTGGTCAATTCAATCCTCGATTAAACCTTCCATTCAAGAGAATCACCTACCAAACTTTAGTTAGCCAGATCCTATTAAGAAAATAATGGAAGAATCAGTACAAAAACACAGATATGAGCATATAAATTTATACAGATAAATCATGCAGCAACTCAATCTCATAAGTACTCCTTGGACAACATTAAGTGTTTTCGCACGCAACACCCACTTGAGTTCCTCCTCTCTCAAGAGAGCACGAAGGCCTTGTTCAGCCTCGGACTTAGTTCGGCGCTCATTAACGGAA